CTCCCGGTGGGGTCAGGCAGGCATGGGGAAGGTGGCTATGAATGAGCTCTGGCCCCCATCAGTGCAACAGAGGAGGCCCCCCGGGGAGGCCTGGAGGCAGAGAGGAGGCCAGCAAGGGGGGGCCTGACTGTTTCCAGGGGGGCGGGGAGTTTCAGTGCAGGATGGACACTTGCCCTGCTATGTCGGAGGCGGGGGGGGCATCTCTGCATCACCAAAAGCAGGGCAGCAGCTCCTGCTCGGTGTCTCTCCTTCCTGCTCCGCCTCTCTGCCCTTGGGGGCAGGGGGTCTCCATTAAACCCAGCCTACCCAAGGCCAAGTCCACGTGGTCTGCCTCGATGGTGCTGCCTGAGCTTGGCAGTGAACCACAGAACCACAAAACCTGGGAGCCTGGGACACTGGGAAGTCATCCTGCCAGGCTGGCTCTCCGTGGGGCCCCGGAGCTCCCGCCCTGGAGCTGGGGGAGGGACGACCTGCACCCGGGGCTCCATCCAGCACCTGTTGTCCAGGGTCCTAGGATGACTCCAGGGAGTTCATTCATTCATTCATTCACTCAGCTATTGGGCACCTGCCTGCTGTGGGGCAGTCACTGTTCCAGGCACTGGAGATTCAGTGGTGACCACAATAATCCTGCTTCCTGCCCTCCAACCGAGCTTACATCCTATTGAGAGAAGGGATGATAACCAAGTAAGCAAATCAATAGATAATAAGTTCCGATCACGCTGAGTGTCATACAGGCAACTAGAACAGAGGGCAGGGTGGAGAACAGCTGGCCTGGTGGAGGCTCCCTCAGCAGCGACTCAGAGAAAGCAGGGAGGGCCCCTTGGAGGTGGTGGCATCTGAGCTGAGCCCTGAAGAACCAGACAAAACCCCTGGTCACCGTGAGACCCAAGCGATCCAAGCGGAGGAAACAGCAGGCACAAAGGCCCTGGGGCAGGAATGAGCTTGGCATCTGAGAGGGCCAGGGAGAGAGCAGTGTGACTGGAGGGCAGGAAGCAGGGGGAGGGTACAAGGGATCGGAGGAGTCAGATCACGTGGTGGACTGTTGTGCCAGCAGTGAGAATACGATGGGACTTAACTTTGAGCAGCTCAGTGTGGAACCAGGGTTTGGAGGGCAGAGTGGAGTCAGGAGACCAGAGAGGAGGCTGCCACACTGGTCCAGTAAGAGCTGACAGTGGCTGAGATCGAGGCGGCCACAGTGCGGGTAAGAGAGGTGGACAGATTAGGGTTACACTTTGGAGAGGGACCCGGTAGGACCTGTCTGCGGGTTGAATTTGGAGAATGAAGGAGAGGCTAATGTGTGGATTTGGGGCCTGATGGAGGCTGTCCACTCGGATGGGCTGCCCGGACTTGGAGGACAACCGGGAGCCCACTGGCCAATGAGCAATTTCCACTAGAGCAGAGAGGTCTTCCTCTTGCCCAGCTGGAAGTGACTTGTCATGCTGATGTAGGAAAACGTCAGACAAACTCAGTTTCCATCCTGACTCACGGGGTAAGCTGGAGACCTCGCGCCATCCCCCCACCGGCCCCCCATTTCCTCTTCTGTACAACGGGAAAGTGATGCCACCTTCTCAGCTCACCACGAGGACTCCGTGAGGGCACAGGGACAGCATGTCTTGCAGGCTGACACGTGGCTACCACCCAGAACTGTCACAACGGTCCTTGCGACCCTGCCTCTTCCTTGTCTTTGTGGGACTGGCCCTGCCTCCCGGAGAGAAATGGGGCTCTGGAAGCAGGTGCCTCTCAGACAGGGCCAGGGTCTGGGGCCCGTCCTGGAGAGACGGGCTCTGCCGCGGGAGGAGTAGGAGGGCTCTCGGGCCACCTGAGTGGAGACCACGCAAGGCAGCCAGGGCCACCCTGAGGTTTCAGGTGAGGCCCCAGGAGTGTGTGCTGCAGCAGGACAGAGACCAGCACCTCCCCGTCCAGCCAGTGACTTCACCCACCAGGGCCTCAGTTTCCTCTGTGAAACGGGGACACACTTGGCCCATAGTGAGGATGAAGGGAGACCTGGCTTTTAAGCACTTCACAGGCTGGGCTCAGGAACCACCAGCTCCAAGGTCTCCTGGGGACTCCCGAAGGTCAGGCTACAGGCAGCTTCTGGGGCCTAGAGCAGCGGTGGCAGATGAGGACATGGGGGGCCAGGAATGTGCATGGAGGACTCCCCAGGCCGGTGTGGTCCAGGCTGGAGGTTGGGCCCCAGGGTCAGCAGGCAGCAATGGGACGAGCCCCTCTGGCTACACCTCAAAGCCTTCCCTAGCTTGGGGTCCTTGTCCCACCACAAGGAAGCCTCCCCCGCTCCCTGTCCTCTTCAGGCCCCTTGTTCCCTAAAGGCTCTCATGTGTCGTCCTAAAACCTCCACGAGGGACCGAAGGCCATCACTGAGCTCAGTGGTGAGGATGTCTGTGTTGGGGCCTGACAGCCTGGGTGGGCATCCCGCTTACCAAGGCTGTCCTTACCCCTCTGTGCCTCAGTCCCTGCACACTCACCCATGGTGGCTGGTGATTTCATAAGATAATGCGAGAGAGAGAGAGAGAAATGCAGGCAAAGCCCTGATGAGTGCTTCCCCTTCAAAGCATCGTGTGGTCACCCCTGTAAGACCATGTTTATTTGTTCCCAATTAATACCTAGGGAAACTGAGGCTCAGACAGGCTAAGTAACTGGCTCAAGGTCACACAGTGGGAAGGAGAGCCCACGCACACTTCGACCACTCCACTCCTCATCCCTTGCAGAGGTCTGCCCAGAGAGCAGACCAACCCCAAAGTCCCCATGTGGAGGTCTGAGCAGTCTGGTCCAACTGAGGCTGGACTCTGGTTATCTGGGGATGGGGCATCTGCACTATGCCCGCCTTTTCAGTGTCCCTTTGGAACAGCCCCCACCTAGTCCCAAGCACATCAGGAGGGAAGAGGGATTTGTCCACACCCGTATCTAGAGGTCAGCAAAGGTCCAGCTGGAGAGGGTGCTGAGTGTCCCGGAGCGGTGGTAGTGGACAGGGGGAGGGCACTGGGACCCGAACCCGGGGCATGGCTGGCTGCCCGGGGAGAGGGATGCTCCTCCTGCTTCTCTCCACTCGTGGAGCACCGACTCGGGCCAGCATTGTGGACACTGTCTCAGTGCCATGGTTCTGGGCTGCCTGGGCATCGAAGCCCCCTGCTCAGAGGAAGGTGGTGGATGAAGCTGGGACTCCCAGCTCTGCCCCTTTGCTGAGGAGGGAAACCACCTGCCACAGTATCACAAGCATGGGGAAAATGGAACCATCCCTCCCTTGGTTTATCACCACGGCCACCCCCATTCCAGGCTGTGGGCGGGAGAAAGTGCACCTCAACTCTGGGGTTAAGTTCTGGACCCAATCCATGTCTGCTGGGATCCTGAGAGCAGCAACTGGCTCCCAGGGGTCACCAGCAGCCCGGGGAGGCTGCGGATGCCCAGATGCCCACCAGGGAACACAGCAGCCTTCCCTTGCTGAGTCCAGCCTGCTGGCGTCCTCATCGCTGGTCCTTTCCGATAGCTCTCCTCCTCCAGCAAGCCTGCCCACATATCTGAGTAGGGCTTCTCCTCCCTTCTGTCCCTCCTGCCTCCCTGCCAGAGATACACCAGACTCGGCTCTTTAGGGGAAAACCTTTTTTATCAGTTTTTTTTTCTTATTACAAAATAACATGTGGATATTGTAGACAGATTTTAAAAATCAACTATGAAAACCATCAGGCAAAGTTAAAACTTACCCACAATTACTTTCTTTTGTGGTTCACTAATGTTTAACATTTTCATAACCATTTTTGGGGAGGAAGAAAAGCAGTAAGGATCCCACCACCCAGAGATAAGCACATTACTACCTGAGAAACAGCCTCCCGGCCCTTTGCCCATATAGACGGACAAAGGGACAGATGGATCAAAAACGTAGATTGTTGGGCGCCTGGGTGGCTCAGCCGGTTAAGCGACTGCCTTCGGCTCAGGTCATGATCCTGGAGTCCCGGGATCGAGTCCCGCATCGGGCGCTCTGCTCAGCGGGGAGTCTGCTTCTCCCTCTGACCCTCCTCCTTCTCGTGCTCTCTGTCTCTCATTCTCTCTTCCAAATAAATAAATAAAATCTTTAAAAAAAAAAAAAACGTAGATTGTTGCTGTTTTATGAAAAGGAGTTCTCCTTTGCCCATAGTCCTTGGAGCGGTTTTACCTGCTCAGCAACAAACAAGTCCTAAGCATCTTTCCGGAAGAGTAAACGGATGAGCACATCCTCTGATGGCTCATTGTACAACTGTTCTGTCCTGCTTCTAATAAATCCCCAAGTGTTGGGCACACGGGGCATCTGGAATGTTTCATTAGGATAAGTCATGCTAGAATATGCTCCAGGAGGAAGGGCTCCCGTCTGTCCCGTCACCGTAGCCTCCCGGCCCCCAGTGCAGGGCTTGGAGCAGAAAAGGCTCCAGCAATGTTGGCTGAGGGAGTGAGCCAACACCAGCCACAGGGAGCAGCCTGGCAGCTCAGCCCAGACCTGGGCCTTCCCGGCCCCACGAGGCCTCGGGGGCCTCAGCTGCTGTCGCCTTCAGGTTCTCCCGGGCTTTCCTCTCTCCCTTTTCTCTTGGCCACTCTAACCACACTCTCACTTCTCCCCAGCCCACCACACCTCTGCCTCGGCCCTGGTGTCCTCCACACTGCTCCGAGGCCCCCACACACCTCAGCCTCAGTGCTGGCTGTCTGGCCTCCCTGCCGGGCTCTCCCGGGAGACATGGCCCGCTTCTGCACCCCCACCAGGCCTCCACGGGGGAGGCCCTGACTCATCACAGCCATTCAGAGCTGCCCCAAGTCCTGCAGAGTGCGGCACCCTCCTAGGGGGTGGCAGGAGAGAGGACAGACAGCCAAGGAGCAGCAACGGTGGGTGCTGAGTGTAGGGGCTGGGCCTCAGCCCCAACCAAGGAACCCCAAATAAAGAGAAGCTGTGTCTGCAAACAGTCCCTTAACCACGCCCCACCTCCCAATTTGGTGGCCGCGCCTCCGATATCCCCCACTAACCATCCTGGGGCCGCCGCTGCCATACATGTCGCCCCCATAGCCAGGGTATGCTGAGTGCTCAGAGCAGAGGATAGGCGGGGGACCACAGGAGGACTCTCAGAGGAAGGGAGGCCTCAGCTGAGCTCCGAAGGATGACCAGGGGTTCCCTGCGGGCAGAGTGCCAGACCCAACGGTTGGGTGGGCCAGGGAGTCTGAGGAACGCAACGGAGGCCAGTGCAGCTGGGACCCAGAGCACAAGAGGGGAGCTGGAGCCCCGGCGGAGCCCAGGAATGAGAATTCCTGGAGGCTCCTGCAGCCCAGGCTCCCCTACTCCACCGGGACTTGGGTCTCAGCAGCCCTGCTGCCTCGCCATCAGCCAGGTCCAAACGTCCACCCAACGGAGCTCCTCAAACTCAGCAGCCACCGCTGAGCCCAGCCACCCCCACCCCAGGCACAGAGGGGCCGTCCCCAGGGTCACTGAGAACTCATCCCCTTCCCTCGGCACCAAACCCTACCTGAATCTCCCCCTGCCCAGCCCAGGGCTCTCTCTCTGTCCTGCACGGAGCCTTCAACACGTCTCACCTGGGCCAAGTCCCAGCCCCATTGCTGGCACCCAGCTTCTGACCCAGCACCCAGACAGCTGTCAGAGTGTCCTAAAACCCAGTCTGGGTGTCTCTCTCTCTCTCTCTCTGTCTCTCTCTCACACACACACACACACACACACACACACACAGAGGCACCAATTAAACCCCTCTCCTGGTCCCTGATAACGACGTTTACTGGGGCGTGCTGGGTGCAGTTTGGCTGGTACTGGGATACAGCACCAAGTGGGCCCCTGTTGTCCTGTGGCCCATCGAATAGCGGGGCAGACAGACATGAATGAAGCACACTTGTTTTGCAGATAATTCAGCACAGTTGCATTGTGTCGAGAGGATGTGTAGTATTATGGGAGTCTTGGCTCCGAGCCCTCTGCAGACCAGCCAGCCCCCCAACAGCTTTTCCAGCTCTGCCTCCACACATTTGCTCACAACAGGCCCCCACCAGAATGCCCCCCGTCTCTGCCCATCATCCCAGGTCCCACTCAAATGCCACCTCCCCAGAGCCTTCCCTGAGCTCCCCCCAGAGTCGATCATCCTGTGGCCCCCATAGCTGGTCCAAGATCCCTCTGTTTCCCCCATTAGTTTGGAAGGTTCTTTTCTTTTTTTTTTTTTGGATTTTTTTAAGTCATCTCTACACGCAACGTGGGGCTCAAACTCACGACCCTGAGATCAAGAGTTGCGTGCTCCACGGACTGAACCAGCCGGGCACCTCAGGTTGGAAGTCGCTTCAAGGCAGGATTCTCCCTTTTCATCTCCACACACCTGCAAATGCTGTGTACGTACGGAACATGGGCTCACTGCTTGTCGGCCTCAAGAAGAACATGTCGCCCGACTTGGGTGCAAGTCTTGGCCGCGCCCGGCCCTCCCTTTGTTCGCCTTCCAACCCCAGTCCTGCCGGGGGTTCTGCTAGGAAAGGCCTCTTTGCGCCCACCCCCACGCACCCCTGTGAGCACGGCCTCGGCCCCTCCGAGCCAGGAACACGGGTGCAGAGCTCCACTTGCTCTCTGCAGCCTGTCTGGCCCCGGATGGTGGGCAGCCGCCGCTCCCCCCGCCAGCGCTGGGAGCCAGCCCCACGCTCAGCTTGCCTCAGAGCCCAGGGAGCCCCAGCCGGTGGACAGCACGGCAGCCATCCTCCGCCGAGCGCCCACCCCATCACCCAGAGCGCGAGCCAGCTTGCCAGCCTGCACAGAGGCCCTTGTGTCCGACTGTCCCCCGCACACCCCCAGCTCCTGCCCGCCCCACCCCACAGGCAGCTGGGGGCAAAAGGAAATCCAGAACAAGGCAGGAGGCACCAGTCGGTGCGAGGGTGCGCCCTCCCTCCGCGAAGAAGGGACAAGCAGGCTGGCGCCTTTTCAAGGCCTCGCTGCCGTCAGCCTCCCCTCCTCAGCACACAGTGGACAGAGCCTGCACTCCGGCCCGATCATCACCCCCGGGAGCCTTCCCTGACCTCAAGCCCCCCGCGCACTCTGCCCATCTCTGCTCCCTTTACAGCAGAGCTCTGGAAGAGGGGAGTGAGGGGTGGTGCTAGAGTGTGCCTGGCAACCAGACCGTCGGGCTCCGTGTTCCTCCTCCCAGACTGGGGGGCTTGGACCGGGGACCTCACCTCTGTGCTTCTGTGAGCCCCTCGTGGGCCTCATGAGCACGCGGGAAGCATGTGCACCTCCACGTCTGATTCCCATTCCCTCCCTAGCCCTCTGCCACCCTGCCACCCATCCCACCGAAGCAGCCCTGAGCAAGGCACAGAGACCCAGGGCTGGTTCCGTCCTCTTAGCCACGTGCCCAGGGCTCTGACCTTAGGGTCTCCCGCTCCACACCCTCCCCCGCTGGTCTGCCCAGAACCAGCCAGCCCTCCTCTGGCCTTCATCCCCACTCCTGCCTTGGTGACCCTGGGGACCCGTCACTTGCTGACCACTCCCTAGGCTAGCAGCCCAGCCCCGCCCCTGGCTCGAGATCAGCAGACCCAGGTGCCTACTCCACTCCTCCTCTTAAAAGCTAACAGGCACCCCCTGAGGCCCCCAATAGCAAATCCCCCCTCCCACGTCTGCCCCACCTCAGGAAATGGCAAGAATTGGGGCTGCTCTGGGCTTCTCTTTTCCCTCTCACACCTTCCTTCCTGTTGGTGATAGCTCTAAACACAGCCGAAACGGGACCACCTCTCACTACCTCCACACTGAACCTTAATCCAGGCCACCATCCTCGCGCCTCCCAGACAGTGTCCACCTCCCCTCTTGCCCCACATACCCCAGGCCCTTCTCACTGGCCAAACCCTCCACCAGCTCCCCAGAGGATCCTCGGAGACTAAATCCCAAAACTGTCAGTGAGGATCTGTGAGGACCCTGCCCTCCCAACCTCCCTGTGGCGCTGGGCTCCCAGCTGCTCCCCCTGCCCCGTAGCCTGCAGCTCTCTCCATGACTCACGGCCCTCCAAGGAGTCTTTCCCAACTGTGTCGCTCAAGCAAACCCCACCTGCCACACTCTCAATTAATTGCTGGTATCTCCTGCATAATACCCACCACCACCTAACATTCTGGTATTTTGGGGCTGAATACACAGCCACTAACCATCTGTGAAATGACTGGGTCCTCACAATCCATGGCCGGAGTAGCATTATGCCCACTTTCCTGATTAGGAAGCCAGGCTGAGGTGAAGTCAACTCTGAGGGTCTCCCAGCTGGTAAGCAGTGCAGCAGGCCTTAGGTTGGCTCGGGTGGGCCTGACTCGAGGCAGGGCTCTCGGCCACCAGGCTCTCCTCAGCAAGGCCTCCGAGGCTGGGAGAAGGGCCGAGGGCTCATCCTCTGAGGAGACTCATCTGCAGACACAAGCCCACGAACAGGCGTGTCCAAGGAGGTGACCAAGAAGCCTCGGGTACGGCAGCCCCCCAACTCCGAACTCCAGCACGAAAGGGAGAGAAGAGGTGGGGAAGGACAGTATAGAAGGTGCGCCCCTAAAAGCCGCAGGTGCATGGCTAGCAGCAAAGTCCAGTCCCAAGGCTCCCCCCTTCAAGTCCGGAGTCCAGAGGGGCTGCCTATATCTAGAAGAGCCGTGGGGACCATAGGCATTTGCTCTGTGCCAGGCCCTGGGCTGAGGAATCTCACATCCTTCACTCATTCCATTTTGCAGATGAGGAAGCCGAGGCTCAGGGAGATTCAGGTAACTTACCCAAGACCTTCCAGCTGGGGGTGGGGACAGCCAGGACCCGCCAGAGCCTGCTTGGACGACCGCTGCATGTTCACTGGCTGCCTGGGAAAGGCTCAGCCCAGACGCCCGCTGAGCCGGCCCCAGCCCCAGACACCATGGCCCGAGGGAAGGGGACCTGATGGGGAGACAAACAGGCATGTGGAGAAGGAGTAAACACGTGGCATGAAAAGACACACCTCACACGGGTGACAGGTGCAAAACAGAGGCTTTAATCCAAACAGCAATGAAGGCGCATGGGGCTGGGGCGGGGGGGGGACAAGGTGGGCAAGGGCAAGAGGAGCCAGGAAGGCGGTGGTCTGGACCCTGGGAGGGAGGCCAGCATGAGGCCTCTCCTAGGAAAACGATTTCTGTGACTCTAGTGGTTCCTGTCCCGGCCTCTGCCCAGGCCATCGGCCCAGATGTGAGGGTCAAGTCCCTGAACTGTGCTTCTTGGGAGCTCCCCCTTCCCAAAGGAGATGTGGACCCGGATAGAGAGTGGGGGTAGTGGAGAAGGGCAGGCCTGGGCTTGGGCCAGGGAGAGCCTGCAAGAGGCTGGCCCAAGAGCAGCCCTAGAAGAAACCTCAGAACCTGGCATGCCAACAACCCCTCACCCAGCCCCGCCCCTGCCGATCTGCAGAGCCAAAGCCTGGGCTCGGCGGGGCCGTGGCTGCCTCATCCTGGAGAGCCAGTGGGTGAGTTCAGGGAGAGGGGAGGATGGGGGGGGGTTGCTGCTGAGTGCTCCAGTGGCCCCTGGCCCACTGCCCTGAAGGGCAGGGAAATAGGGCCACAGGGCCCTGGAGAAGCAAGCAGCAGGGAGGAGGGAGCAGAACCTAAGATTCCAGAGGAACCCAGGTTCCCCACAACCACAGCGGGCCCCAGCCCCTCCCTGTGTCTCTGCCACCCCCTCCCAGCCTGAGAAACTTTAGAAAGGCAGGCCTCACCCAATAAGCCAGTGAGCAGGCCCTGCACCCAGTGCCTACCCAAAGGGCAGCTTCCAGAGGCCACCCTTGTAGAGGGCAACAGGAGTGGCTATGGCCAGAAAACCCAGCAGAGCCAAAGGTCAAAGAACAGGAAGCCAGATTGAGGCGCTGGACACAGGTGCCAGCAGGCCCAGAGGGCAGCCATGAAAAGAAGCTGGGAGGGTCACGGGCCAGAACACCCAACGCTTCTTGGTCCCCAACTCCCCCCGAGGCTGGCCACCAGCCTCATCCTCCAGTCTTCAGAACCCCAGACACCCACCCAAACATGGCTTAGGAAACTGACCCACCCCACGGGGAGCAACTGCTCCAACCCCTAAAAAGGCAACAGGACCTAGGAAAGGAAAGCAATGGAAACCGCAAACCCCTCCCCTCCCAGTGGTGCAGACCAGCCCAGGTCTCGTGCTGGACGGGACAGGAGAGAAAGGAGGAGAGGAAGGCCAAGCGTGGGGCTGGGGCCCGAGCACACCCTCCCGCCATGGAGAAACGGGCCCCCCTGTGGTCACTTCTCCCTTCACTCGGGGTCCTTCAGCCTTAGGCCCTGGGCCTCCCTCAACCCCACGCTCACCACCCACCCCAGCAGACAGCCTCTCAGCAAACAGAAAGAACAGAGGGAGGGGTCAGGGAGTGACCGGAGCTGGGGCAGGGGAGGGCAGGCACAGAACTGCGGCCTGGGTGGCCCTGGCTGCTCAGCCCCTAGCACGAGGTGACCGGATGGATGGGCAGCAGGCTCCCGAACTTGAAGTGCTGGATCACAGGAAACTTCTCCAAGCACTGTGAAGGGGAGAGGGGAGAACAGAGGTGAGGATGGCGCTGCACCCCTGTCAGGGGCCCACTCGGCCTCTCAGGCCTCCAAGCAACCCCTGGACGACTCTGGAGCCTCGGACAGGCACGGATCCCAGAAAGTGTCCACCCAGGGCCCAGGAAGGGGGCC